TGTTCAGTATGTTGAAGGACATAACTAAAGATTATCTCGGTGATTACTCGATGATCAGTCCCTCTGTCCATCTCTGCCTCCTGTGTTGCGCTGGGCTTACAAAAACACATTTGTGGTTTTACAATATGACATGTAAACAATAAAAATCCACGTCGACCAATTTTTATAGTTAATGTCAAAGTGACAGTGAATATGTCAGTTATAGTTTCTACGTTCACGCTTTTTGTCAGTTTTCCACCAACAATGATGAAGCTGACTTTGAAGGCCTCGTGGATGGAAGGACCGTGAGTACGAGCTGCCGCTCCCTGTGCGCTGAAGACAAAGTTTCGTTCTCCACCCAGCGTTCACGTGGCTGCTGCTCGTAGTAATATTAACATTGTCCGTCTTTATTTCAGTGTCTGGCGGTGTGGGAGTCGTTCCTGGTGTCACAGAGAGCAGAGGCCAGCGGAGGCCAGGAAGACGTTGCTTAAAATGTGGAGTTCAAAGGTCGACGCCGCCCCCAACCCCCACATGACACACACCGCTCTCTCCAGCAAAACCTTCAGATGTACGAATGTACCACTGCCCACTGCTTTCTGTCTCTGCTCCTCTGACAGCAAACTGCTGAATCCCAGTCTGACCATTCCAACATTACTAAAACCAGCACTGTAATCCACACACATGCACCAACCGTGTGATTGGCACAGGTTCTCTGTGTCGTTGTTGTGCTGCACGTTCCCTACAGTGGCGGCCACAGCTAGCAGCTGGCTCCTGTGTCAGGTGACAAGGATGCCCTCAGGTGTCCTTCGGTAACTCGTGGATTTGGCAGCAGGAGGCGTTTTCACACAAAGCAGGGACGATCAGGTAGAGCCTCAGAACATCCTGCTCAGTGATTTTGCCACAACAACAAAGTTGAAGTTTAATTTGTAATAAATGGTACATTGATACTGATTTCTACTTTAATATTTAAAGTTTATAATGAAATTCTGATGTTTATTAGTCTTTAGTGATGCAGTAGTTTTAGTAAGTTCTGAATTGTATAGAAGTGATGGTAGACAACAACAGACACACGGCTCATGATGGTGACGATGAGCCTGTGGCAGTCGTATTTGCTACATCAGCCCGACGTTGTTGTGCAGATTCACCAAAGAGTCGTGTTTCCTCACAGCTGCTGCTGTCTGCACGTGTGCAGCAGCGTGTTTAAGCCAGACGGGCATCTCGTACTGAAGCGACCAAAGGATCTGTGAGCTGAAACGTAATCAGTCAGTAATTGAAAAGCAAAGCTGTTTTCAGGCTCCGTCTTTACTCACCTGCTTCTGTCCTGTTACTATCAATCATTAAGATGAGGAAATGATGGGTTTGCAGGAAACATCCATACATAGCACTACAGTTTTACAGCCCTGTGTTAAAATAATAATAATGATAAAGCGTCAGTCTTTTGGAGATTATAAACGTGATGGTCTGAGTCATGTGTCCATGCTAATGGTAACAATAGTGAACCAGAGACATAAAAGCACAGCTGCGATGAACTCGTCAGTGACCGTCTACTTTTATCAAGACGAGCTACTGAAAGTTGAAAATCTGACTCCTTATTGCCAACTTCGACTGCAGGTGGGGAGACAGCTCTCTGCCAAAGTTATGCACCAAACAAATGTCTCACATTTCATTAACAAACCTCACGTGTGATGCAAGTTGAATCAGATGCATGTGAGCTGCAGACAACACTGCTGGAGACGTCTGGAAGCTTTAGTCAAGTTTACTCATCTGCACTACAGCAGCCCCGTTCCAGCTGTTCCACCCACCGTTTCATACTGTGGACCTTCTGCTCACTGCTTTTATCATTGTGAAAAATAATATGTAATAACACGATTTGAGATACTGACAATAAAGACTGATGTGACGCTACAGAGTTTGTCTTCTTTTTGGAGTGTAGAGCAGCAGCAGCAGGAGTTCTGTTGGGTCATCAGTCGGTGGACCGTCCATTGACAGCATGGTCCCTGCATCATCTGGGCGTGCTCCTAAGTAGTTTTGTTCTCAGCAAATTAAAATGCATATCAATAAAGATTTTCAGCGTGAATATTCAGTTCATCGCGATCCGGTGTGTGATTTTAGTTTAGACATGCTGCCCGTATCACTGAGGGAAGACGTGCAGGTTCAGTTCCCTGCATGCTCTCATCTCACATTGCTGGAGTTGCAGCATATTGAAGATTAAACCAGTCAGCAAAGTTTGTTTCATTGTGAGCAGGCCACAAGCTGAGGTGATGCCTACTTCTGTGTCATCAGGCTGGAGCAGCATCGCACATGAATGACTTTCCTGTGTTTAAATGGAAACATGTAACACTGAGAGTGCTGATGATGTACAGATGAAGTCAAAGATTGATGTCTTCCTGCTCCTGACTTGTGAAGTTTTTTAAATATAGTATAGATCTCTGTCACCCTTCCTCTGACGATGTCATGATGAATTAGCAGGGCCCTCTTCCTCTCCGTAGCAAAGTCATTGCCCCTGATCGCAAGCAAGTAGTTATCGAACTACTTTTTCCATGCAGCAAATGGAATTTTCGGTTCGCCCGGACAATCCAGGAACACAGCCGGGGGTTGCAAAGAGAGCAGAGCCATAACTTAATCACCACTACTCTCGTCGCCACTTGTTGTGTGGTGTTAGTTCAGCAGGCATTACACACACACGCAGGTAGGAACAGAGGATCACCGGAGATAACTCCTTTCTTTCTTCTTTTTTCTTTCAAAATACCACCACGACAACAACATACTCACTAGCGCCCTCTAGCGCATCTGGTAAATGCATCTACAGAACAAATGCAATAGTATGTGGACACAACAAGTGCTGAGTATGTTTCAGTTTCAGTTCCAAAATATCCTCGTTAAAATCAGATTTATTTTATTTTTTTGCCTGTCCCGTTTAGCTCTTTTGCCATCAGAATTATTGTCTAAAGCAGGGGTGTCAAACTCAAATACACAGTGGGCCAAAATTCAAAACTGGAACAAAGTCGCGGGCTAACGTTAATATTTATTGAAAAAAAAACTTCCTCCAGATTTAAGGATGAATCTTTTCTTATGGACTCAAATAAGTTTTGCTGGAAAACTGAATATGGAACAAGCAAAGCTTAATACTGTATAATACCAGTAGGCCTGCTCTGATAGTAATTTGGTATGGCTTCACAGGCCAAATGTAATTAGGCTGCGGGCCAAATTTGGCCCGCGGGCCAGAGTTTGACACCTATGGTCTAAAGGCAAAGAAAGATGCCCAACGGATTTATTTGCTAAATACGGGACAGATTTGACTGGGGAAAAGAAAGGGGAGAAAGAAAGAGGGAAAGAAAAACAGCGGGGAAGAGGGACGGGGATAAAGGGCAAAAAACCCCAAAAACAATAAAATAAGCAGACAAAAAATACGTATATCAATCACCTGGATCACCTGTTGAGAAAGAAAAAAAGAGCAATACAATAAACAACATCACGATGATCTATGGGAATATAACAGTAAAAACTAAATATTAAACATTATTGTGCAGCACGTAAGATCAACAGAACACAGTGTGCTTTGAGGTAGGAGCCAAAAAGGGTGTAGTTTGTGGGTGTGATCACCCGTGTGTACACCTGTGAGCATGGAC